ATTTAATAAATAAAATGAAATTTTTGGTCATGATTTTTGGGATGTTAAAAGTTGGTATTAGAGCCTTGGTTTGAGGGATTCGAGCACACTATCAGGTGTGTCTGAACTCAAACCGAGGACTTGGTTTGAAAACTTTCAAAAGAAAATCATTTTTATAAAAAGTATTTCAAAAAGAGAAAAGGGGTGTGGGGAATGCAATCAATCTAACTCAAGTAAGTTCTCCCAAATTACCCATACATGTTTGTTATGATAAGATATGATTATGAGAACTTCATGCTAGATTAGGGCTAAGGATCTAGGAAGGATGCCTTGTATGCCTCTTATATAAGCTTATTGAACTACACGCTAGTACTGCTTAGTCGGTGATATGATGGCCTGATTTGGATATGTTTGGTTTGGGTTACTCAATGCTCGAATGCTGCCAGCTTTGTGCTTTTAGGAGTTCTGTATCACAACTAGGAATTCTATGCTTTGTAACAACAACAATGATAACATTTCTGAACCAAAAATGTGAAAGCATGTATGATGCTTATTCAATAACAACCAAAGTTTCATCGAACACTCTATACAAACACTTCAAATAGTCAAGTAAAGATTGGAAACATTATAAATCCCGGTTTAAGTCCATTTTGGACTAGGATTTCCTTATTGGGCCTAATGGGCCAATATGCTTCCAAATAGACTATTTTGGGCTTAGAACTCTTAAATGGGCTCTAATTGGACCCACATTCATGAAACTTAACCTTTTTGGGCCCTATAAGCCTAAAATGGTACTGAAAAATGTAAGAAACATTTGAGAATGATTAAAATTTTGTATTTTGTTTTGTAATGATTTTTATAGTTAGGTTTTAAGTTACAAAAGATGGTTTTGGTAACATTCTAGATTTAGTATGTTTCCTTTTTAAACTTTAATGCAAAATTCCTCTTAATTTAGTCACTAGCTAGTACGCGGGGAGTACTCTTTGAGTACACGTATTGTACTAGCTCATTTTAGGATTACAGATTCACCGACATATGTGGGGCATACCTGGGAGTATGCATGGCATACATAATGTAGGGAAAATCCCTAATTTTTAGGGTTTATACCCTATAAAAGCAACTTACAACACCCTTAGATCTTCTATTGATCAACCTCCATCACTCTATACCCTAAAATCATAAACCTAAGTATCATTTGTGAGTTTTGAGCTTGAAAGTGAGTTTTTGATGAAGTGGAAGAAGAATAACACTTAAAGGTTGCTAGGAAGTAGCTTGAGCTTATAGATCAAGAGTCACCTACATCTTAATAAGTCATTTGATGTAAAAAGCTCTCATCTTGACAGTTCTTTATGCTAGATCCAACTTAGGGTGTTATTTATGAATTTTTCGGTCTTTTGAGCTATATTTGAGTTTATGGTCTACTCCAGAAGCCACCGAAGTTAGATGTGAGTACAAATGAAGTCCCTTGTCCATAAAAATGCAAACTTTATGAGTTATTTTGGTCCATGCAAGAGTTAGGTTCCTTGTTACGGTTCTTTTTGAGTTTTGGGCCTTATTAAGGCATGCATGGGAGTAAGGTTGCCAACTTTACATGTTAAGTCACTTTATAGAATCAGATCTGAGAGTTTGGAATGTTGGATTAACCAATTAAATTGTTAATGAGTTGGATTTGAGGTCTGTGAAGTACACAAGGCGTACCCAGCTTGTACGTTGTACATACTGGCTCCGGAAGGAGTACGCTAAGCGTAAGTCTGAGTACGCTTAGTGTAGTCTTTTGTTTGAATTTTGGGTTGACTTTCAAGAGTTTGGGCCACAATTTGGGCTTTTAGGGTTTGTGCCTTGTTGGGCCAGTGGACTTCTACTTTAGGCCATGGATGGACTATGTGCTTTCTTGGGATTAGGTCCATGATGATTTTGGGCTAAATTCAGAAGTTGGGACATATTGGGCATTGGGATGCCATTTTGGAATTTGGACCTTTTTAGTAATTGGGTTGGGCCTTGTTTTTGGTCTAAGTAAGAAAAGAGTAAAATGGTCTTTCACCCTGGATGTTAGAAAAGTAATTTAGATTCTTGATTATGGGTTGAGATCCATTTATTAATTGGATATTTTTTGATGATGTTAGCATGGGGATTTTCCGGATCAATAAACCGAGATTTTATTTGAGATGTTCAATAGCTTGAGGTAAATTTCCTCACTGTGCTTAGCATGTCAAAGGCACCAATATCGACCCATGGTTTATTATGATTAGGATGCCAGTTGTTTGCGTGACTCTGTATGTACGTTTTATGATATGTTTACTGGGTGGGGCCTGATGATTATATTGTATGCTATATATTTTTTTGATTTTTGCACATGTTTATGTGTTTGCATGTGTACTGGGCGGGGCCCGATGCCAGGTGGATCCTGATGACTGACAGATCTGTTCTGAGTGGGCCTGGATGCTAGGCAGATCCCATTATATGTTGATATGTATGGTATGTGGTATTTTGGGGAACTCTCTAAGTTTTTTGCTTATGGTTTTAAGTTTATATTTCATGTACTTCTAGTTTGAAGGGGTAGAGCTCAGATGACTGCATTGTACACACCATATTGTTCTGTATTTTACAAGACTCTGATGTACTGGATGTTATATGATACACTCTGATTCACTATGGTTTACATGATGTTGTTTTGGATAATGGTTTTGTTAATTTAAAAATCGAAATTTTTTGTCTTAATTTTTGGGACATTACAAGTTGGTATCAGAGCCTTAGATTGAGGGATTTAGGTATACTCTCAGGTGTGTCTGGACTCAAACTGAGGGTTTAGTAGATTTTTTTTCAAAAAGAAATGTTTTATGAAAAGGGTTTTCTAATAAAAGAAAAAGGGTGTGGTACATAGAATCGATTGAGCTCAAGTAAGTTTTCCCAAATTAACCATACATGTTTTATGATAAGCTTTAATGTGTGAATCTGTGAATTGCATGGTAGTTATGGCTAAGGATCTACTTAGGATTTTCACGGTAGAATGCTAGGAAAGATGCCTTTATATTCTTATTGTATGATATTATAGACTTGCATCCTTGTACTAATCAGTCAGTGATAGAGTGGCTTGTTAGGGTTATGCTTGATTCTGATTACTCCATGCTTGAATTCTACTTGATTTCTGCTTTTTAGGAGTTATCATAAACTTCAGCTAACTAGTAAGCGAATATGCTAAGTTACATATTACTAAGACTAAATAATTTTAGAAGGTTAGCTTTTAATTCTATTGTGCAGCTGTTATTTGAGTCCAACCGTTGTAGTGTGAGACCTTTCATTCGAAGAATTATCTGTTGTCGGTGATATGCATTTATATTCATGAGCTAGTTAGAGGGTGTTAGTGGGAGTTCCTTCTACAGCTGATGGCAGAGAGTAGCGTGGTGACTGCCCTAGTAAATGCCTAGGAAGAGATTTAGTGCTGAGAACCTTGTCATGTTAAGGGTTGTATATATGGATAAAGAGTGATTTGTAGGATTCACAACAATCCTTGAGGAAAGTACGGATAGATGTGGAAGGTAGTATGGGCCCATACTATTGGAAGCAGAGGATTTGTACTCAAGCCAAGGAGAGTTGCGATGATACTAGGAAGCTTTTATAGTATAAGACTCCATGATATTTATTTATGCGTGTTTTGATTGTCTGTATGGTCTATTTTCAGTATGGTGAATCTTCAAGGAAGACTGATTAGTGGTTCTGGTGTTGGTGATGATTCAGGATTGGGTTCTGGAACCGCAACATAGTTGAGCAAACTCATGTGATCTTTGGTACGGTCAAGGAGGGTATTATGGAGATTTTGGATGAACACTTTTCAGTCTGATATGGTGGCATAGATGGGAGCCCTCACATTGAACTTTTGTGAGTTCCGAGCATGTGGGGCTCCAGTGTACTTTGGGAAGAAGGACCCAATCACAAGTAGATGATAGTTAGCGGATGTTACTAATGCCTTCCACATTAGCAGTTCTCCCGATGGGGAAAAGGTCAAACTTGCTTCCTGTCTTCTAAAAGACAGAGATCGAGATTGATGCGGAGAGGTTGGGAGCTTTACTGGTGATGCGGCTATTGATTCGATGACATGGCATGATCTTGAGACCAGATTTCAAGATGAGTTTGCACCGGTGATTAATGTGCAACATTTAGTGAGGGATTTCCATGACCTTCGCTAGACTACTGATTAGATGGTCGAGATCACCACTATGCTCCACGATAGGGCATTATTGGTTCAACACTATGTAGTAGATGAGGAGATAAAGAAGGTGAGATACCATAAGATGTTGAAGAGTGATATCCAAAGGTTTGTGAGTTGATATAGTTGCTAGACACTAGATGATATGATAACAAGATCCAAGGAGAGGGAGATTGATTAAGAGATCAAGAGGAAGAGGAAGTTAGATCAAGCTTAGGGTTCAAGGGGTTCAGGCAAGAGGCCCAAGGTATTTGACTCGAGATTGAGAGGCCAGCAGGGCTAGAGTTGTTGTAGCGAGTGAAAAAAGACACAAGATGGGGTGTTGTAAAGTCCCAAATCCAAGAACCAAACTAGTGATCAAACAGAAATAATCAATGAAACACTAAGATAATAGATAAGAAGAAGAAATTGATTAAGCAATGCACACGATTTATTGCAGGACCGCAAACTCATCTGTACACCTTGATTACACACACTTACACCATGAACTCCTCTAATTTCATACACTGACACGATCTGACACACACCTATATATAAGGACAGACTGGCCGTGAACAAGGTTCACGACTGAACACGAGTTCACTACCGTATACCCGTTCACGGCCGATAACGCCTTCACAACCGCAATCAACACCATAATATACATAGAAATACCAACACCCTATAAGTACCTATACAAATGATTGCCTAGCCTAAACCACATATAAATATGTCCTAACAATCTCCCCTTGGTTTGTGACTAGCATGAACTCAGGTCTACTTGAGCACCACGTCAGATTTTCCCATAGCCCCCATCCAAAGCCTCTTCTCAATGATCTTAACACCCTTTGTAGATAATTTGGTGTTGATTCAAGGTGTGTATATCTCGCTCCCGAAACTGCAACAGATCTTTAGCATCAACAAGATGAAGAACAATATCACTATCAGTGAACTTGATTGCTGTTGTGGCTGTGACCTCATCAAAAGCCCAAAATTCCATGTGATCCAGATATCCTTCATGGAAATGTTGAGGGATAGGAATTTCTTTTAAATGTTTAGTCGCATGCCACATCATTATATTCATTCGCTCATTGGTTCTGGGATCAAGCACCTCCTTGTCTCTTCTGATTAGCAAATCTGCAGTTTTCATTTCAGAGAATTTTTCTTTGACCTGCCTTTCAAGAAAGAGTTTGAAATTTGAGGCATTTGGGTCCTTTGAAGGATTGTGGAATGGTGTTGCTGAAAGTTTAGTTAGATGGACTTTAGTCCAGGAGCTAAAGTCGTGAGTATCCTTATAGTACTTCAGTTTTCCATGATTCCTCTTCACCACCCACATATTTAAGTCACTATGAAATCCCCACATCTTGATTCCCGAATGATTTTCGTATTTAACTCTGAACCTCCGCTTTTCAAGATCAGTTACTATAATTTGAGGCTGGTATGCATGACGGTTCTCATCAGAGTTCCGCATGAAAATCCATCCTTCTTTTTTCTCAGTAGTAAGCTTTCTCTTAGTTTGTCTGATGGTTATTCGAGGGTTGGCCTAGATAGGTTCCGTTACAAAACGATTGACAACTATTATGGTTCTGAGGGTGGTGAATCCAAGATGTTGTCATGTTGAGAAGTCTGGACGGGGGCACTAGAAGGACCTTCAGTGATGAATGATTCAGCTATTGATGATTTGAACCTATCTCCAAACTCAGTTACCAACTTATTTTTCAAATCATAATAGCACACTGTCAAGGCTCCAAGATGAGTCTGGAGATCAGATATTTTCTTTGTCTTTGGTTCAACTTCATGTTCAAGATCAGACACTTGAACGTCAAGCTTTCCTATCAAAATATATTTCTCAATAATTTTTTGGTGTAAAGCTCCAACATCTTCTTTGAGCTTTTGGATAGTAGGCTCCACTCCCGCTTAGTTGCATTCCTCACTTGATATTCCCTTTCTATGAGGAGGAAGGCATGTCGCTTCTTGATCTGCCAAGAGCCTTGCAAGCCTTACAGAGGTGATGTCATGCACAGGCCTTGGGACAGAGGAACCTCTAGGAGCTGAAGAGCTCTTAGATTCAAAAATGGTTCTAGGTTCTTCTTGAATTGGTACCATTGGAGTAGTAGTTTGTGTTGCGGTTGCAGGTTGTGTTGGAGGGTCCTACTCCTGAATAAGGACTCCCGGCCTTGGATCATGTCTTCTCCTTTTTAGCGGGGCTGGGAGGTTTGAGTCACAATTGGATCACTCACAAATGGCATAGACGTGGGAATAGAAACATTAAGGGGAGGAATCCTAGATGCAGCATCCGTATCAGTAAGTGTACTATCCATATGTTCTATGGAAGGAGGCATCGCTTCATAAACATCTTCAACTCCCATATCTTTGTTGTACGTTGAGCAACATCATTGATATTGTTAAAGAAGGAGTCAAGGTCTTCATTTGACGGGCAATACTCGTTTTCAAACTCAAAACTGAAATCTTCATTCAAACCCGACACATTACCACCAAAATGATCATCATTATTACCAAAAATTTCATCATTATCAAACTCATCATCATCATCATTTCCTGCATCTTCATCCTTATTATAATTGCTTTGAACTTCCACACATATCAAAAGATCATATTCCTCTACCACGATTGCGATAGGAGGAACTCTACCTTCTTCATGATCATAAACCATGTTCACATCTTCTTCTGTTTCCATATGGTCAGACGAACTTTCCGATGCAGATGCATCACCAACTTTAGCAAAATTTCCAAATTTCACCACCTTATATTTTCCTTGACACATAAATTTCCCTTTATGATTTTGTTTCATAAGCCTAAACATGTTGGATCCAAGGGATTTGACATCAAGTGTATCTCCACTCCTTTCGATGTCTGGGTACTTGACATTTAAGATCAATTGTAGAAACCTTGGGTACATCAGAAAATTTTTCCTTTTTCTTCTCTTCAACATTTCCAGCCATTTCATGCATAATGGATTTGGAGAAATTGAATTCCAGACCCATGACCAAGGTTGCGATTGCACCAATGTTGACTAGGGAAATTTCATCTGCCCCAGCTCTCCGACCAGAAATACAACTCACAAACATGTGAGCTAAAAATCTCCAGTATGGTGGCATAAGCTTTTTGATAGTAGGCGGAAAGACCTCTTCATACCCCATCTGTTCGATGATAGTTTCTGTTTGACCCGTTTAAATCTCCATCGGAAAGCTTGGCTGGTCATCAATTTGTAAAGCCTTGCGAATGATTTGTTATGTCACCAAAATCTTCTTCCCTTTAATAGTAGCCTCTAAGGACACACAATCATTTTCACCCCTTTGTATTGCAGCAGTGCTCCCCTAATCCTTGATCAAGATTTGATAAATGAAAGGGTTGGAAGTGAGGGCATGAACTAGACAACACTTATTCAATCCATGAAGCAATTATTTGAATTTAGTGTGAACTTCAAGTGGATCGACCAGGAAAATACCCAAGTTGTGAACATCGGAAAATTTTAAGTCAGCTATTTTGACCTGCAACAACCAAGCCAAGTGAGAAAAACAAACATGTTAATAAAAAACACCAAGTTTTCTCAAATCAAAATAAAAGCTAAAATTTTAAACTAATAAATTTTAATATTTGAATTTTTGCAAAATAAAAATAAAATAAAAAACAAAATAAAATAAAATTGAAACTAAAATGAATTAACACTGATTTCTCCCTTTCAATGCTAATATTAATTTTGTGAGTTTGGGATCAAAGTTATTAGACAGTCTTAATCTATTTATCGGTACCTCCTCTTTCATTAAAAGATTTGGTCAATCGCCGATGTTGTGGTCTACTTACAAACGAAAGATTGTGAGAAAATTTAGGACATATAACAAATAACAAGACATTTGACCCTATGTTCCTAGATTGAATTCCTAAGGACCATTCAACTGACGATGACCAAGGATATTGTTGTCCACATAAATTAAGTTTCGAGATCTACAAACAACCTATTTGATGTTTAATTTTAGTTGTACTAGAACATGATTCTTGTTTCTTGATATACCCCAATAATCAAGAACTTCCGAGATACTCCTTACTTCATGTGAGCAGACTATTATTAGGAGAGAAGACATATTTAGACTGCATATGTTAAACACCCAAGTTAGATTTCTTCCAATCACATAGAGGGGTTAACATATTATTAAACATAAGTATATGGGTTGAGAAGTAGAATGGTGCATATATTGTGTTCCAGGTCGGATGTATTTCAATCACGCAGAGGAGACATGATATGGCTAACAGACAGGAAGAATAGCGTGGATAGAAGATGCAAATAGATAGATTTGCATATGTTTTAGTCCAGGTTGGATATGTTCCAATCACACAGAGGATGAAACATATGACTAACAGTAAGAAAGAAAGAAAATAATTTTCTATAGACCTACTTTATCGAAATCCCCCCGTCACCCTATCAATACCAGAATTAAGGATAGAATTTGTACATCAAGGAAAAGTTAAGTCACATTGCTAGATACGGGTTCCTTTAATGTGACCAGTAGATCCTCACGTATATCTCCCTGCTCAATCTATCCAAGAGTCGTATTGTTATACTAAAAATAACTATCTAGGTCAAGATTTGTCAAGTCTCTAGATTCCTTAATTTCGTCTATGCCTAGTCAAGTCCATTTAAGTCTTTCGTGCCTACCAGCTCATTAAGCACAAAGCCTAGACAATTTAGCTTTGGTACCTTACACAGATTCAAATAGCTAGTTATCACACATTTGATATCACTTCCAAAGACGTTACCTACATAAACATATTTTTGGAATTTTGAGATTTTTTTTTGTTTTTTGTTTGGTTTTTGTTTATTTCTCCCCCTAAATTTGTGCATATGAGAGAATGGAAAGTAAATGCGCAAATTCAAACTATTCTAAAACAAAAATTAGTCCTCAAAACGAACCATTTTCAAAAAGTCCACAAGCACATCGAATCGAGCTTTGTAAAAGGTTTTGTGAATAAATTTGTCACATTATTAGTAGTGGGAACCTGTTGTAATCGAATGAGCTAATGCTCATAACAATCTCGAATAAAATACACCTTGATGTTGATGTGCTATGTTTTTAAGGGCTAGGCTGGATTTTTAGAAATTTGAATTGTAGCCTCATTGTTACAAAAAATAGGGTTTTTTTAGAAATTTAAACTGTAATCCAACAGTTGATGTTGGATCCATGTGACTTGAGAACAACAGGAAGAAGCAGCGAAATATTCCACCACCATCGTGCAGGTTCAGACTGTATGATGTTTCTTACACTGACAGGACACCAACCGATCTCCAAGAAATTGACATTCCCCCGATGTTGATTTCCTGTCAAGCTCACATCCTCCATAATTCCTGTTAGCAAAAGCATATAAATCAAATTCAGAAATTTTCGCATACCAAAGACACAATGTTGGCTCCCTTTGAGATACCGAAAATCCTTTTGACGGCAATTAAATGGGAGAATTTAGGATTAGCCTGGTAACGTGTGCACTGACAGACCACGGACATGATGTATGGCCTGCTCGCGGTTAGTTACATCAGTGTCCAATCATAGACCTGTATTCAATTTGATGTACGAATATGCCATTAGGATCTGGAGTCAATAGGGGTCGCTCGGCCGTCGGCATCAAGGTAGGTTTTGTGTCTCTGAACCTAAACTTCTCTAGCATATCATCAACATACTTGTCTTGATGAATCAAGATTCCGGTTGAGTCTCGTTTGACCTGAAGCCCCAGAAACATTTTCATCTCCCCTAGAGAAATCATCTCGAACCTCTTCTTCATCATGGTTTCGAACTCTTTGCACAACTCTGGACTCGTTGACCCGAATATAATGTCATCGCCATATATTTTCACCAGTTGCTGATCAGCACCAACATGCTTAATAAACAGGGTTTGATCAATTGTTCCCCGAGTATATCCATGCTCGAGCAAGTGCTTCGTAAGAGTTTCATACCATGCCCTTTGAGCTTGATGTAACCCATATAAAGCCTTGTCTAAATTTTAGACGTGATTTGGAAACTTTGAGTTGAAAAACCCAGGAGATTGATCAACATAGATTTCTTCCTTCACAGCGCCATACAGGAAGGATATCTTGACATCTATCTAGTAAACCATGAAGTTCATGTAAGATGTATACGTGAGGAAAATGTGGATACCCTCCAAGCAAGCAACTAGTGCATAAACTTTGGTGTAGTCTAGACCCTCTATTTTCCGAAATCCATAGACAACCAATCGCTCCTTATTCCGCACAATAACCCATGAATCATCTTGCTTGTTTCAATAAACCCAATGAATATTAAGGGACTTCTTGCCTTTAGGTAATTCTACCAGTTTCCAAACCCCAACTTTTTGAATTGATTCAGTTCTTCATGCATTGCGTCTACCTAGGTGGGCTCATTCTACACCATATCAAAATTCTTTGGCTCTATTTGAGAGATAAAGCAAGAGTAGAGACATGTG